GTTTATGTACGTAATTGAATTTTCACGGGTCGCATCGCAATGAATCTCACCCCTAATTTGAGGCATTAGCCATGTAGCAACGAGCTAGTTTCACATGTAGCATCTTGTTGTGAATGGAAGTGAATCCGTGCTCGACAATGCAGCCCAAGGCGGAGTAGTTGAGAGCAGATCCACCGAGGTTTCAGTGACTCTTCAAAAGTAGATAAAATAAATATAAAATGTCTTTTTGTTCGATTCACGGTGCTTACCGAGCCAAGAGCACTGTATCCAATGGTTCACTATAGATAAATGTGTTGGAAGATTAGCATTGAACGTAGACCCGTAAATAAATGTATTGTTGTACCCCAATATATAAGATTAGCATTGAACGTAGACCCGTAAGCCTTATGACCTCTTGTTTCATGATGTGGACTTCATACAACACATGTGCTTAATGTCTTTACCCTTGACGAAAGTTTCAGGATAAATGCAGTGAATTGCGATGGATTTTCTACACCGTGACTGAAGCAGTGTAAGGAGAATATTTCTTCTGACCAGTTGTAGCTTCAGAGGGCGAGGCTGTGCCTTCACTGAATTACAGCTTCATCTGATTTAGATGTCAGAACTGGTGGTTAACAGGGCGGGGCTGCCCGTGTGGTTACACTGGGTACATGCACGATATACTCTATGTACGTGTATGTGTGGCGTGCAGATGTTGTACCGGCAGGGGTAAGTGTGTACATGTCTTAAAGTGACTGCGTTAAAAATATCTCTGCCACAGTGGCCAATTGCAGTGTAGCATCTAAGCCACCTCATATGTATTAGTGTGCATGTGTGTGTGTGTGTGTGTGCGTGTGTGTGAAGGCAGTGGTAGGGTTCAATCTGAGTTCAGGTTATTTACATTTATGGATTCAAAGTTCCAGTAAATGGTGCTGTGTGTTTGCTCTGTGTGTGTGTGTGTGTGTGTGTACACAACCCATGAAGGCAGTGACGAAACAGCAGAGAGTGTATTAGATAAATTATAGGTAGAGACAGAAAGAAAAGCTAAATAATAATTCTGTCATCTGTTGTTCATCCATTCCAGAACACCAGTCTGGAAGCTGTCGTGGTTCAGAACCAGTAGTAGTTTGTGTTAATTAGATAAATGTGAATCGGTAAAAAGTAAAACACCCTGATTAAACATTGGACATTAGTGCTGATCAGTTCAGGAAAGCAAACGTGTCTGACTGTGGCGTTAAATCCCAAATGTCTTCAAAACAGAGCTTTTGAAAACGTGTGTCTGGCTATTATGTTGCCATTAAAGCCAGATAGGAAATGTGCTAAATAATCAATTTCCTTGGCCAACTCCCAGATCCAGGGAGCTCAATAAAACCCAGTTTTATTTTGTGCACTATATATGACAGATAGAGGCGGCACCTTGTAATAAAAGTGGAGGCAGAGAGGCTGCAGAGAGTGTCTTACTGCAGGACTGGACACACCGGAAATTTATAGTAATATCCAGCACTGCAAAACGATAAAAGTTAGCAGGAATAGCAGCCTACCAATGTGGTTGGCTGTAATTGGCCTGCAGACCATAGGTTTGACATGTGATTTAGACTATATTTATCTGTTTTAGTTGATCAGAAAAAAATTGGTTTAGAAAAGTTCCTGTTTTAATGTTATTGGAGCTCATGTCGCCGGGAGAGTAATTTAATAGTAAAATGTCAATAATCTCACATGGGGACGTTGATGTTTTAACAAATAATGACAGCAGATAATTAGCAGTAGAGACAGGTGGATTTAGATGTGATGCATTAGAAAAGGGAGAGAAATGAAAAGGTAAAGGAAGATGTGGAAAAATGTCCAACGTGCAGAAAAGCAAACAACTTCAGAGCAGCTCTGATTGAACGTGTCATCAATCACAGATTTCCTGTGAGTGTGTCTGAGTTTCGAGTCTGCTCTAATGTGAGCACATCGACACTCGCCTCCATTATTAATGCTCTCTCTGCTCTGGTGAGCAGTCTGCAGAGGACACCCAAGATAAAAAAAAAGGCTGCCTAATGTGTCTTAAGACTCTAAATGGACTGTATTGGACAGAAAGCTTTGATTTTTGTTCCCTGGTTCAGTCTTCCTCCTAGCTTACACAAATACTTGTCTGGGTTTTTAATGGCTCAGACGTAACTAATGGACCATCAGAATAAGGAGGACGCAGACTGATCATCCACAACAAGGCTGTAGTTTTCTGCTTCCTGTCAAATCTGGTGGAAACGTACAGCAACTCCACTGATAGGAGGGCAAGTCAAGAAGTCTTTATAAATCCTTCTGATATCAGAGTTAATGTTATATCTTTTAACCAAACTTTAATAGAAGTTAGTTAAAATGATTGATGCTTTCAAACAAGTTTTGATGGAATTCAATATCTGACTTCTCCTCCCCCTCCCCCCCCTCCCCCCCCCCCCCAGTGAACGCATCTTCATACTAGAGATGCATACAGAGACTGGTGACTTTATGTCCAACACAAACTTGTGTACTGTGTGTGTACTCTCTCTCTCATGACTTACAGTGTAATCCTTGGTCAAAGGCCTGGAATTGTGCCTACACATGTCACATGACTCCAGATTCACTCATATTCTCTTAGGCACAGCAGACACCCACACAAAAATAAGTGGAGCTGCATCCTGGGATGCATCTCATAAATGCCTGTGTTAAACCATATATGCAAATCATCTACATCCTGAAGAAGAGGAGAGACTTATATATATAAATGCCGAAATCCTGAAGAAGAGGAGAGACTTATATATTTTTTTTTTTCCTGGGATGGCTTGTCATTAGACATTGATATCAAGGTTTTTCTCACAATTTAATCAGCAAGAATTAATTGGAAAATTAAATTACCCTCATCCTGCTGCGATGATTAGCTTTAGGCTGTGCACACTGAAAATCTATTGGCCTCACACTGCCAATCTCCCATACTGAAATGCCAATTGGCTGGCATTTGGTTTTTATGGCACTGACTGAATCCACCCACTCAACCAGAAAAGCAGAGAGAGGAAGAGAGAAAGAGAGAGAGAGAGAGAGAGTAATGCAGAGTATAGAATAGATCGATGCAGTATATACAGCTGTACTGTGCAGAATCTGTGGAATCACTTTGTCAGGAACCATAAGATCAAATCTGCTCCGTGACATGGACCGTGGCCCAAAGACACTAGGAATCTTAGTGTGAAGGTTATCGCTCTGTTTGTTTGTGTTTGTCAAAGAGGTGGAGGAACCTGTGGGTCCATTCCAATTAATATCTGGAGTGTGAGAACTCTTGAGAACCTTCTTAGAAATTCATGGTAGTGAAATTTTATTCTCCTGGTTATTTTAATCAGTCACGTCCAATTAGAGTTTTATCTGGTATTAACACCCCTGGGGAAGTGATGTCAAGAACCACATAATCCCACTGGTTAAATGCAAAGTCAAATAAGGCATTTATTTATTTCTAACATATAAAGTAAAGGTTGTTTCTAGGTTTGAGGCAGATTTAGACACTCCTGTCTACAGAGTGACTTAGGTTTCTGTCTTGAGTGCTGTTGAGCCCCATTCATAGCCGTGTCTGAAGGAAACACGTCCCTGTTGCCTCCCAGCCTTTAACAACAATATGTTCTATATTATTACAACGACACAAAGAAAGTGTGGACCAGCAGCTAAACATTTAACTCTGTGGTTCTGTAGCCATCGACACTTCATCTTTTACCCTTGGACTTTCCTGCTTCTTAGTTCGGTTTAGTTTTCAATCATAGGTAACTTGTGCCCCCGCGTGGTCAAAACTCTACACTGCCTCTATAATTATAGCACAGCGACCATCTTTTTTATATATATAACTCCTTATTTTTATTATAGCTACAAATGTTAATGTAGTTTTAAGGGGTTTTATTAAAGGGCCAACTATAAACATTGCTGCTAGTTTTTGCACAAGTTTCTTTTTGGCTTTTCTCTTTTCATTTGAGTGATTCTATATATTCACATTCACATAAATGTGAATAATGTTTTTATATTTGTTATATTAGCAAGTACGTGGTATTCAAGTAGACCAGGTACACAAGCATAACTGCAGTAAGTTCACTCTATATACCACAGGTAAAAAACAGTAACACATTGGTGAAATGTCACTTTTGAAGATTTCAAGAAACAATGTCAGCAAAGAAAAGTACTTTATTGAAATAACACAGTTTAATGTAATAAATATAAAAAAATAATTCTGACATATTACTGACCAGAAGTTTAGAAGCAGATCATTTACTTTAATTATTCTATTTCTTCGTATGATGATACGATTTTCAAACATACCTGTAGTGAGAGTGTGACATCATTGAATCGTTCACAATCATTTAAACTTCATTGTTAAATACAAAGTTGTGATCCAGATCATTGGGCAGTTTTTTACTGAATAATGATGTGTCGCCATCTGATGTTTATCCTGAATCAGTTGGTTCAGATTCAAAGGTTACGACTAACTCCCCCCAGTGAGCTCCCAGGGAAGTGATTCCAATCCCGTTGTAGCTCCCACTCAGTAGTATCAGCTCTGCCTCCTGCTGTGGAGAGTACAAGTTGCAAGCTGTCACTGCACGGCACACTCACTTTCTAGTAAGCCTCCCCTCCCACTCCCACCTCCCCTAGGAAAATGCTTAATTTCATTTGCAACAGAGTCCGCTTTTTAAATGTCAGTATCACTGAGGATCACCTTAATTTTAATCATTGCAGCCAAAATTGTGACCATGATTAAAATTTGATTAATTGTGCACCCCTAATCTGAGGTGAGAAATGCGCCACATTACTATGTTATAAAATTGATTATTGATTGTTGATCGATTGTTCAGTTGTATATTATAGATATCCAAAATAAGTAATTAGGTATTACAGTTGTCTAACTTATGAGTCGTTTGTTTGCAGTAAGGCCACCAATCAGAAGGAGTGGGGGTTTAGTCTCGAGTAGGATGTAAGGTAGAAGGAGCAACACTTTTAAGACACACTCATTCACTCAACATTCAAAAATTCAAAAGTTTCCTTCCCCATTATATCTTTTTTTATTATTTTTTTCACAGGCTGGGTGTTTACACATGAATCAATCACTGCCATAAATCAAGAAAGCAAAGACACTGGCCATAGAATTAAGAAGTGAAGGCCGTGTTCAGACAATCATACTACATATGTATTATATATGTAATGATCTTATTGTTTACATAAAACAATATCCCAAAAACCAGATCAGAAAGAACACGGTGAGACAGGGTGTGTAACTTATTAACCCATTAATCGTAACACATCAACACTAACAGATTTGATGGATATGATCATTGAAACAAACAACATCCCAGCACACCACTGCTCTGACTCCTTAAGATGATGAATCTTCTTCTGCAGCTTCCTCCTGCTCCTCCTCACTAAACACCGCCCAGTGAGCTGCTAAAGATGTGATACCATGGCCGTTAAAGTTACCACTCAGTAGAATCAGCTCTGCCTTTTCGTGTTGTGGATACATGTTGAAGGACGTCTGCAACAAAAGCAATATTTTCTGTGAGCCTGTAATCACTGTAATTAGTAATAATACTGTTATTTATGACAGTGAATATCCAAAAGACCTGAGATGGCTGGCCTGCAAACAGAGTGCGCCCCCTGGAGGTTCCAAATATCACCTGATAAATGTAGCTGGAATATTTACCAGAGACCTGGGGAATGTAAAACAGCGTCACCAAGACGGGAAAAAAAATTCTTTCCACCCCATTTCTAGATACTTGAATACAGCATAAGTTCAATCCATACTTACTTATTACTTATTAATTTACTTATTTCTACTTAAAGACAGAAGTACTTTAAGTGCATATTCAAACTCTTTTAATAAATCCTGGAAATCTCCTCAGTTAGCAGTTTAACGGGCAACTGGTTTGTGTATTAGACCTGGGTGTCAAAGAAATAATCACATTTTGATTTTTATTTAGGAAATAATTTGCTTATATTAAAGATAGAAACCACTATTAAATGTGCATGAATTTCAAACAGTTCATGTCTGAATTCTGTTCAAAATATAGATGATTTCTGAAGCGGAAATATCTAATCTGTGGAAAGAGACATTTTAAAGGAATTCATTCAATATGTATACATATTTAAAATGATCTATACATCGATTTAAACTTTTCGTTCTAAATAACAAATTTAGGCTGGTATCTTAAAGTTATGTTAAAGTCAGAAGGACAATGAAATTAAAAACATTGGAATTTAAGATAGAAGTAAAAACCTGGACAATGAACTCGTCGTCATAGAGAATAATTTCTTGGGCGGTGCCATACTCGCGTCCCATTATTGCAGACCAGTCCTCTTCATGTTTGTATTTTAACTGTATACTACAGAGAAGTACAGAGAAGAAAAAGAAAAATGTATAGTATAAATCAAACACAAATTAAGTAGCAATTAAAATGACATGACCAAACTTTGATGAAGCAGCAATTGTCTTAGAAAATATAAGTCAAACTGATGGCGCACAGTCACATTTTTTTACTTGTTTCAACCTGGACAATGAACTCGTCGTCATAGAGAATAATTTCTTGGGCGGTGCCATACTCGCGTCCCATTATTGCAGACCAGTCCTCTTCATGTTTGTATTTTAACTGTATACTACAGAGAAGTACAGAGAAGAAAAAGAAAAATGTATAGTATAAATCAAACACAAATTAAGTAGCAATTAAAATGACATGACCAAACTTTGATGAAGCAGCAATTGTCTTAGAAAATATAAGTCAAACTGATGGCAGCACAGTCACATTTTTTACTTGTTTCCCAATAATTATAATAATTATATTAATATCTACACATGTACATAAGAGAAAAGTAATACTAACCCACAAATGTAATTGCTTGGATACTCATAAACCCTGATACCAGCGATCCTCCCTCCTGCTCCGTTTTCTCCCTCTGAGGAAAAGGATGAGCCGCTACCAGTTCCAACTGCAGCACTGTAGAAGTAGTTATCCACAGTAGCTGGAAAGCAAAAAAGACAAAACATACATTATGCGTACAATTAGTTCATGATTTAAAGTAACTGTAAAAAAAATCTAAATAGTGTAAAATGTCTCACTGTCTAAAAAATAATGTCTTACCATGTGCCATGCAGCTGGCAAAGAGAGCCGCCAACAACAGGAGATTGAACATGATGCAGTGGGAAAAAGTCCAGAGACAACACTGAAACAGAGAGTTACCAGCTCATTACCACTCTTCATCCAGACCACCATCACAAGTAATTATCAACATAAGCTACAGAAAAAACTCGTTTTGAAAAAAAACCGTGTTAATGCTCAAATATTAAAATATAGCTCTATATATTTGTTCTTGTAGCTGCCATAACATTACACAGAATAGAGTTCACCTGAGAAGAGAGAAAACAACATCAATTAGTGACCAGCAGATTCAGATATTTAAACCCACCTTCTGATTTCAGCTTCTAGAGTTGAAGGATGAACAGATACTGCAGTACACAGTGATGGAGGAACTTATATACCTGCAGTCACATCCCACCTTGCACACACACAATCACAGACATT